TGTGTGTGTGTGTGTGTGTGTGTGTGTGTGTGTGTGTGTGTAGGGTCCTCATCTGAGTAGTTTCCTCATAGAACGAGGACAAGGGACACAGAGGCACAAAGGGAAACCACACGAGGGAAGGTACCGGCAGTGGCCTGGCGTGCTAGGGAGGGTAGAGGTGCATGGCAGGACTGGAATCCAGAAAAGGTAGGAATGGGTCCTGCCCACCTCTCCATATTAGCCGCACTTCTAGTCGGTGGTACACACGGAGGACAGTAGGTGTTTCTGTTCTGACGGAATGCTGGGATGGCAGCCCTTGTTATCTGTTGTTGAGTGCCACAGCGTAGATTTAGGGGATGATCGGGCGGAGTAGAATGGCCCCAGTGGCCTTCCTAAGTTGCCATCTATAGACGGAAGCAGAATGCCTGGGCTTCTCGTGAGTCCAAACTTCTGATCTTAGCTTAAGCACTGCACTGTCAAGGCCCCATAAGGGCAGGCCTAGGGCACGACCTGGCACAGAACTGGGCGGTGTTCAGTTCTGATGTACACTGGGTCACTAAGAATCAGGAGCCAACTGAGGGCAACTGACAAGGACACCATCTTTAGCCCAAGGCTCCTCAGCGGTGCTTTGTCCCTCCTCGGTGCCCTGCCCCTTTGTGGCCGTGTCCCCTATATAGCCCCTCCACCCCACCCTTCAGGATGGCCCAGCAGAAGCCCAGATCTAGGCCTCTTCCAATTGGCCCACGAGTGAGGCCAAAATCCCGCCAAGCTTTGATAGCGCCTATCAATCACTATTCGTTTGTATTCTAAGTGTTGTGGAAAAATGGCAAGGTGCTATTCAGAGACGGTGAGGTCCAATTCTTGGACTGGTGAGAGCTGCCACACAATCTCACACACACACACACACACACACACACACACACACACACACACACACACACACACACACACACACACACACACACACACACACGCATGCACATACTCCAGCGGTTCTGGAAACAGTGGGGGGGGGGCATTGTTCTAGAGGTAAACAAAGAGATAAGGGTGGAGGCCCCCAGGGCTTAGTGTGAGCCCCCCCCTCCTGCAGGGAAGAAGCCAGCTGTGCACAAGTCCAGGGTGGAGGAATGATCTTCGAGAAAAAGGGGGCCATCCGGGGCTGCCTCCTTCCAAGCAGCACCCTGGAGGGTGCTGACAGCGCACCCATTTTGCAGACTGGGAAAGCGAGGCCTGGTGGGGAATCTGTCTGTGGCCCACATTTGTTGGTGAGTGGGGATGGGTGGCAGCTGGGAACCGAGCTCAGCTGGGGCTCCCTGCAGCTCCTCCGTGCCCCCAGCCTCCTCTCCCAGCAACTGTGACCTGTGCTTTACTTCTAGAACAGAGCTGCCTCTGTTCCACCTCCAGACCCCAAATTAAACCAACTCAGGAAGTGTTCAGGCTCGCTGACTCCTGGCTGTGTTCAAAGGCCCCACGTGACAGGTGTGAAGACTGGAAAGCTGGGGTGGGGTGGGGTGCTGCAGCCCCCAGCAGGCAGCCAGCCCAGGGGAGGCAGACAGCCCGTGTACTGGACCCAATCAGTCTGAAGAACCTGCGTGCGGCAGCCTGCTGGCCGCCGCTCATGACTCGGTCCCATCCTTCTCCCAGGAATGGAAGGCTTCTCCCCAGACTTCTCTACAAGTTGAGGGGGCAGGGCTTATCCGATGGGGGAGGGAGAACTCACCCCTGCTGCCATCCTACCTCTGCCACAGGGCTGAGAGGCTGAGGCTTGAGGCTTGTGGGCCCCAGGGAGAGATTCCCTCCCTGGGCTCCCACAGGGAGGAGAAGTAGCATAATTGGAGACAAGGGGGGGATCCCCCCTTTAACCCTTGATGTCACCAGGCTCCCAGAAAGCAAACACACAGACACACATGCATTGAAAGGGCTGTACCCGGTGGGCTGTTGCATCTGGTTGGTTCATAGTCAGCCAGGGCTCAGAGGGGCCACTTCTGGCATGCTCAGGAGGAGGGCCTGGGTTGGGGAGGGGGCAGGCAGAAAAGGTAACCATGACCTTTCACAGAGAACCGAATTCTGACCTGAGTCTCTGAGTGGGGTAAACTTATGGCATCAGGCTGCTAACTGAGAGGGTGGGGTTTGGGCCCATCCCGAGGTGTCTCAGTATAAAGGCCTAGTGATCTACAACCCCCGGAAATCAGCTCTTGGAGACAGTGGGGGATGCGCAGGTCTGCCTGGACACACGCTGGGGCCACTCGCTGGCAACTGGAACGCTGCATCCCCGGGGATGAATGGAGGTCACACAGCTAGACTGTGGCAGGGGACTCACGGGTCTTGAGTTTGGGGGTCGCAGTTCCCCCTGCCTTCCTACCCTTTGCCAGCCACAACCTGAGGTGGGTGTGGGAAAAAGGGGTGGACCAGGGACCATAAGGCCATAGGGTCTGGCTTTCCCACTAGAACTAGAACGACTAGGGTTTAAATCCTGAGGGTCACTTCCTCACGGCAGGACCCACTGCTGACACTCAGCTTTCAGAGCTGTGAAAGGGGAGAATTATAGTGCATCCTTCCCCACTCATAGAGCTACAGTAAAGATGGCACCAAGGGACTTGGAAGACGATAGGGCAGAGGCTGGCAGACCAGCTGAGGGGCTAGGGCAGCCCTCAGCCTGTCATAGGACAGGCAGTGTGTGGAAGCACAACTGAGCCCGGTGACAGTGACCCAGAGTCGGTGGTTGCCTTTGCCCAGCGAGGCAGAGTGGAGTATGTGCCGCAAAGACTGCATGACCTGCAGCTGCTCCCGCCATTAAGGGCCCATCAGCTTGGTGCCATCTCACAATGACCAACACAACAAAACACTGCCCGGCCCTGCAACCGCCTCACAATCATTCCGACGTGTTTACCTGCGCCCATCTCTCGTAGACCCTTCCCCTTCTTCGCTTGCCTTCAAAGAGACAAAAATGTTGACTCTCGGATTCACCGCCCCCCACAATACGCTGACCTTTGCTTTTGCAACAGCTGTGGCTCTTGTTCAGAACCACTCTCTCTTGGGCCCCTTACAAGCCGTTTCTGGAGGATGCAGTGGGGAACTCTTCCAAGTGTCAAGAAACCAAGTTGCCACGCACCCCTTCAGAGCCACAGGTGTGGCTTAACCGGTGGCATCAGGTGCCACGTGGAGTCACTTCAAGCAGCAGTCACTTACTTGCAGTTTTTACATTTGAGGCCAAAGAGCATCCCCTTCCCGCAGACGGTGCAGGTTTGGGACATCCAGTACTTGGTGGAGAACCTGTGGGGAGAGA